GATCTCACAACTGTAGATTATGACCTGAGCCAAAATCAAGAGTCGGATGTTTAACCGACTGAGCCACCCAGTGGCCCCTAAAACTCCGTTTTAAAATATAAACACTTTTAAAATAGTAGCTCTCTAAATACTCCCAATCTGAAAAGTTAGGTATTATTTTATATATGTATTTCTTAAATATTAAGACCTGAGACGAGATCAAGAGTCAGAAGCTCAACCTACTGGGCTCCTCCGGCATCCCTACATATACTTTACACGTCTCCAAGGAAACAGGATTGGTACTCAACCAAACCTAAATTAGCATCCAGTTTTACAGGCAAAGTTTCCACATACGAGGCTTCAGCGTCCTTCTTGTTCAGATTTCAAGGGAACCTCAAAAGGTGGCTCACTGTCTAAATGTCTTACAGAGGAAAGCCAACTCACCAGCTCAGTGAAAACTGCCCTGCCATATCCAATCTGGCACTGGTCCCTGCAAGGGGAAGAATAGGAGTCCTTCTTAAGACTGGGCTCAGCAACCTCAAGCAGGGTATTAAGCCGCTTTGGGGCTCAGTTTCTTCCTCTGTAAAATGGGGTGATGCATGCTCTAAGAAGCTTTGGACCTGGGTCCATTTATGTAACGTGCTTGGCACAGAGTAGGTTCCCTGTGAATGGTGGTTACTCCTTAGTTGCTAATTCCTTGCTTCCTCAACTAAAGGTGCTGAGTGCTAGGATGCAAACTCCCAATGTGGAGTCCATGAACAGGATAATGGTGCCAGTCCTAAGTAAAGACCCCGAAGTCTCCCTCCCATCCCTGCACAGAAAGAGTTAAGTCTTTCCCCTAGAGATCTGTAAATAGCCTAACAACAAGATCCAGGGTAAAATCCTTCTGAGGTGAGAGGGGGAGGCGATGGGGGCAGAGTTGTGCAGCATTCAGCTTCTGTCACCGGGCTAAGATCTGCAGCTAAGTGAAATTCCAATGTTTCTAATATTAAATTGTAGAAATCAAGATGACAATATAATGATGATGGTGATGAAGGGCAAAGCCATTGCGTCAATGTCTTCCTTTAGCTGTCCTCACACGTGTGCTCAGACACACAGTGGCTAAAGTAGAAAATGGCTGAAACTGTCTTTTAAAAAACTGCCACAGATGTTCTGGAAAGCTTGACCATCCTGAGCTACTAGTTTGAAAGATAAAGGCAAAATTTTGGAAGTCCATCCTCCACTACATTTTATAATTATAAATCTCTTTTCTTGTTAGAACAAAAAAACTAATCTTAACTCTATTTCATAAAAAGGAAAGCTGAAAGCTGGTTCAATGTGCCTTTTATTCATTGACTGATTCATTCACTATTGATAAAGTGAAAGAACTACCTTTATTTTTAAGTTATCTCCACATCTAACATGGGGCTTAAACTCACAACCCCGAGATTAAGAGTGACGTGCCCTATGGACTGGGCCAGCCAGGCGCCTAAAAGAACTACCTTTAATTTCACCTAGCTCCTCTCCATCAAAGTAAGCCTCAGATCTGAAAACGTGGGGTACCCAAGGCTACTGAATGCCTAGATACAGATGGTCACAGGATCATGCTCTACAGGTCCAGAAGAGTATATGCTCACCCTCGGGTCTTCCGAGCAATGAAGCTGAATGTCCAAGAAGCGAAGTGCTGAGAACAGTCAGAAGATATTTGGCCCTGGCTTTCCAAAAGAAAAAGCTAGATGTTGACAAATATATACCAACCTTGGAAAATCTGGCTGAGTTGCGTTCTTAGAAAAGAAAGCCATCACCACCTTAAGTCCACACTGGTTCAGTGTCTTACCCAACTCTTCCAAAAGGGGAGCAGGGTTAATAAATTGGGGCAATGCCCTTCAGTCACAAGATACTGATATTTTCCAAGATATGTGATAGTGTCTAATACGGATTTAATGGACATGATACAGAAGTCTAGGTGTGAGAGTAGATATGCTCAGCTATATAAACCCAAAAGTGTCAATGAAAGAATTTAAGAGGGTCTGAGAGGAGGGCATCTATCTCAAAGCAGGCCACACAGACTTGGTCTAGTCCCTTTCGGTGTATTTATTAATGTCTATATAGACAGCAGCCTTATAAATATTCAAATAATGCTAATCCAGGAGAGAAGCCTAATGTGAAGATTAAGAAAAAACTCAGCAAAATGGTAATTTAGTAAGGATAAGTGTAAACCTGCCCCTACATTTAAGGAATGAACACTGTAACCCTTTCAAGTGGCAGATAGGTAATCTCATATAATCAACACAAAATGTTAAAGATGACTTTGTGATTTATGGAGACAATGAAATCTTTGTCTCTGCTTTAGTGAATCGAGTGGTCTGAATTTCAGCCCCAGTTAACAGCTGAGATTTCAGTTAATACCACAGGGGAGGGGTGGGGGAGCTGTTTTGAGACTAGGGAACTTCCAAAAATTCTAGGTGCATTTATATGGTCCTCTATCTTTTGGTTTCTCATTATCTGTCCAGTTTTTAAATTAAACTTTTTATCTGAAGATAATTACAGATTCAATGTGGTTTTAAGAAACAATATAGGGAACATCCTCTGCCCTGCACCTCACGGTCAGGATATTAGCAGATACAATCTACCCAGCTTATTTCGATTTCCTCATTTTACACGTACTCCTGTGTATTTAGTTCTGTGCAATTTAATCAATTTGTGCAGATCTGCATCACCAGGACAGTCAAGGTACACTTAAGATGGATTACACACTCAAGTCTCTGTTTACAAAGAAAAAAAAAATCACCTTATTCCCCTAACGAGACATTCTGGACACTGTAGCTTGGAAGTTACTTATGGGGCTCTAATCACTGCCCAGGGCCATGACAAGTGCCCAGTGAAGTTTGCACTCTTACTTCAATTGCCTGGATGAGGCACAAAAGGAACGGCCACAAGATGCAGACCACAGAATGGAAATCCCTCACGTGACCACTGAAGAAACTGAGACCGGAGTTGAGATTCCTTGTCCCTGCGATTCCTTGTCCCTGCTCGACAGTGACAGGAACCCCTCACTCTTTCTGACCAGTGGTCTCTGAGCTTTTTTTGCTGCCTATTCCATCCTCACCGGCTCAAAGTACCTGGATGGAGCTGCTTTGAAGAAACAGGCAATCACCAGCGTCCAGCTACGTAACTACAAACGAAATAAAAAAAAATTTTTTTTTTGAGAAGCATGCAAATACCTAGCAGTGCGAGTATTTCTTTATACCAAACTTCCATGTAAATTGAAAAGGGGCAGAAAATAGGTGGCACACCCTTTCAGTATTTTCAGACCACCACCTCTCCTTTGTAGGCAACGCAGACGTGGGACATTAAGACCTCGCGGCACTGCTCTACCAAAGTGAGAACAGGCTCTGAATGCAAAGACTTCCTGGACTGGAACTATAGGAAGAACTAAAAAGAGCTGGGACGGGCCAAGAGGCAAGCTATTCCTTATCTGGGCCGGGCGCTGCAGCAGGGAATTTGTGGGAGGATGGGCAGTCCTTCATGAGAACAAGTCAGGCGCCCGAGCACCCTCCCAGAGCCAGCGCTTTGGCCCGGGCTGCGCTGCGGAGAAGGCTCTCGGGGAGGGCCGGGGCGGTGTAGGTGCGTGGAGGGCTCCCGGGACCCCCCCCCCAGCCCCAAGCCCGCGCCTGGGGGCAAAGCGCGTGGGTGCGGGATCAGGCTGGTGGCACACGGACCCGCGCGAATCCGCCCGCTGCGCTTCCGGTCTCACCTGGGCGGCCGCCGGCAGCCCGCCGTCCGCGTGAACAAAGGCGGGGGCGCCGGGCCGGCCGCGCGCTCCAAGATGGAGGGCGCCGGGGACTCGGACCTTAGCCCGCCCGCCCCGCCCCGCCCCGCACGGTCGCTTCCGCCGCCTCACCTGCCGCGACTCGGCCTCCCGGGCGGAGAGCTGGCGCGCCCCGAGCCTCCCAGGGCCGCCCGGCGCTGGCGCGGGAGGAAGGGCCGGACATCGCGTAGCAGCCCGACGCCCCCCGACCCCGCGGCGCCGCGCGTGGTCCGGAGCGCGCACCCCGGCCCCCTCCCACCCTCCGGGTAACTGGGGGGGGGGCCGGAGCGCGCGCCTGCATCCGGCGAGCCGCACAGGTTCGTGCGCGCGCCGGCCCTCGCCCTCTCCCACCCTCTGGGTAACTAGTGGGGCAGTGCCGAGCGCGCACGCCCATCCCTGGCCGGCGGCACTGGTCCTGTGCGCGTGCCGGCCCTCGCCCCCTCCCACCCTCGGGGCCACTCGGGGGAGACCGGGGCGCGCACCCCTGCCCCCAAGCGCCCCTAGCCCCTTTAGCCCCCAGCGGCCGCGCGGGTCCCGGAGCGCGCGCCTCCCCCTGCCCCTCCCGCCCTCCGGGC